GGGGGGGGGGCAAAAAAAAAAAGATAAATAACACTGAAATCAAAGATCTTGTGACAAGTGTTTAATTCTTCCAGGAGTCTACTGCAATACAATAAAAATACTTTTAAGCATTCTAGTTCTCCTGTTCAATACAGAATGTTACCACCTCACATTGCATACAACTCTTCAGTCCTGAATGAAGACTCAACTTACATAGAGATGTAATAGTAAATAGACTGTCCTCCCAAATTAAGCTTCAGTAATACAATGTATTTCTGAGAATTGCAATCAGTTACACTTTGTTTCTAGACTACTAAATACTACTTGAAACAAGAAAAAAAGGTTGACAGTGAGACTTTAATATCTTTTAAAAATCTGTTTAAGAATGTATAATGCCAGTGAACAAGAGCCAAACAATAAAATATAAAAAGTACAGAGAACATGAATCAAAAGAACCACAGGTTGAAACCAGAGATATTATCAAGGAAGAATACCCAAGGACTATTCATGTAGCCAAAAGAAATGAAGAAGCTTGATGGATGACTGATGGAAGTTCTTAAAATTTCTAAAGATAGAGGAGAAGCAAACAGTGAAAGGTGACATAGTATCAGAAATCTAAATACAATTCCAGCAACTGGCACATAGAAACAAAGAGAACTATGCTATCACTTCTTCAGAGAAACTGAAGAGAACAAAAAAGAAGAACAAGATATCTGTTTCACAAGATCCAAGAAACCAAAGGGAACTGTAAAGCGCGGTTAGGCATGCTGAAAGATCAACATGGAACTACATTAACTGAACAGGATAAAATAAAAGATGGGAACAATACACTGAAGATATGTTGTCGAAGGCTGTCATGGCTGGAGTTCATTAGCTGTTGTAGATTTTCTGGGTTGTATGGCCGTGGTCTTGGCATTGTAGGACCTGACGTTTTGCCAGTAGCTGTGACTGGCATCCTCAGAAGTATAACACAGAAAAATGGAGTACTCTCTGTGTCAAGGTGAGAAGAGAACAGTAGGCAGGTAATTTATATCTACTCAGGAAGGTGGAGTAGGGCTGAGAAGGTGAAGTAGGTGCTAATGGAACCTCCTCAGGAAACAGGAAACTGCCTCAGGAAACAATCCATAAACAAAAGAATCTCCTCAGGAAAGCTCCTCCATTAGCACATTCATAGCCTGGGGAACTCCTACAAGATAATGACTCAGCCCTACCCCACCTTCCTGAGTAGATATAAATTACCTGCCTACCATTCTCTTCTCACCTTGACACAGAGAGTACTCCATCTTTCTGTGTTATACCTCTGAGGATGCCAGTCACAGCTACTAGTGAAAAGTCAGGTCCTACAATGCCAAGACCATGGCCATACAACCCGGAAAATCTACAACAGCTAATGCACTGAAGAACTAGATAGAAAAGATGAAAGGATCACAGATTCCTTCCAAGAAGAATCTTTTGAAGAAATTCCTGCAGTTTTACAAAGTAAAGTGAAAACTGCATTCAAACCAATTAGGAAAAGCAAATCACCAGAAGGAGCTGGGATATCAATAGAGCTATTTAAAGAAACAGAGTCTACCAAAATCTTAACAAAATCTTGACAATATGGAAAACAAAACAATGGAACACAGATTGGAAATGCTCAATCTACATTCTAATTCCGAAAAAGCAGATATCTAAAACCACAGCAGCTATCGGACCACTGCATTTTAATGCTCAAAATCTTACAACAAGACTATTACCATACATGAAAGGAGAAATGCCAGATGTTCAAGCACGATTCAGAAAAGGAACAGGCACTACAAAGCATATTGCAAATTGAACATGGATTACGGGGGCAAACACAAGAATTTCAAAAGAAAATCTGTATTCATTTCACAGATTTTGACTGTGTGGCTAATTAAAAAACTATGGTTGGTTCTAAAAAAAATGGGTATGCTACAACATCTGATTGTTTTGATGTGCAATCCATACTCTGGACAAGAGGCTACTGTTTGGACAGAATTCGAAGAAACAGTGCTTTCCAGATGTCAAGGTGTCAGACAAAGATGTATTTTATCTCCCCATCTCTCCAATCTATATGCAAAACATATCATAAAGAAAGCTGAATAAGATTTAGATGAAGGTAGAGTGAAAACTGGTGGAAGGACCATTAACAATTTGAGATATGCAGATGACACCACATTACTGGCAGAAAACAGTTAAGAGATGTAATGACTACTAATGAAGTTTAAAGCAGAAATAGCCAAAGCAGGATTACAGCTGAACATAAAGAAAAGAAAAAGTAAGGAATACTGAGAAATTATACAACTTTAAGGCTGACAACGAAGAAACTTGAATTGTTCAAGATTTCCTGTCCCTTGGCTCTATCATCAACCAAAAGGGAGACTGTGCCCAAGAAATTAGGAGACTGAGACTGGGAAGGGCAGCCATGAAAGAGCTAGAAAAGATTCTTAAGTGTAAGGATGTGTTGCTGGTGACCACAATCAAGATAAATTCATACTACAGTATTCCCCATTATTATGCAAAGTTGGACAATGAAGAAAGCTGACAAGAAGAAAGTTAATTCATTTGGAAATGTAGTGCTGGAGTAGAATTTTACAAATACCACAGACTCTGTCAAAAAAACCAAGTTAGTGGGTTCTAGATCAAATCAAGCCTGAACACTCCCTGAATTTAAAATGACTAAACTCAGGCTACTGACTTCTCATAATGTGACCAAAGTACATGAGTCACTGGAAAAGACAATAATGTTAGGAAAAGTTTAATGCAGCAGACAAAGAGGAAGACTCAATATGAGATGGACTGACTCAAGCAAGCAAGCCATGGCGCTCAGTTGGCAAGACTCAATCAAGGCTGTTAACAACTGGATGTCTTGGAGGTAATTAATTCAAAGGCTTGCCATAACCCACACAGACACACACCCCACATCCCCCCTGACAATGGCTTGAACACAAAGAAGTAGTGCTGCTAGCAGGTATTTTCCATTTTTATCTTCTCACTACTGCTCCTCCTACACTGCACAAATCAACACCCAGGAGTTAGTGGACCCTTGGAAATAGCGTGGGGTAGAATATGGAATGGGAAAATTGCATGAAGTGAAATTCCACTTGTTTAAGAAGGAGTAGGGATAAAAGACAAAAACCAGAAAATACATTAAAAAAACATGCATTAAATGCCTGTATTAATATCAGGAAATGGAAAGAAAAAATAATCAAATCTGTCCTTTTCCTGAAGTTCTTTACCTGACATGGTTTACAGTGTAGATTACTGAGTACGAGGGCTCCATGGGGTGTTTTGTTAGAGTTATTTCCAGACTGGACTGTTACTCCATGTCCTTCATTGCACTCTTCATCTGTCGGCATTCTTTTGCCCAACTTAGATCCCTGGAGAAAGTTGAGAAATAAATAATCCTAATCCATGAACGGCATCTAGAGCCATACATCCTTATGGGTTGAGGAAACCAGTTCTCCACTTTTCACCAGCAACAACAATGCTGGGGGAAATGTCTGATTTGTATAATGGAGAAAACTAATCAAACTTGGGGGGAAATCTACACAGAGAGGTAATAAGCACTCCAATATTTTCAGATAATGCTGCAGTATTTCAATATTACTGGAAAATTTTAATCCAAGTTAAAACTACTCACTTGTGGCTTCTCAACAGCTGGATTTTTTCCATCTGATATTCTTTCAGTAGTACCACTGTTGGAAGACTGAGAAAGCAATTCGGAGCCAGTAGGAGTAATAGGGACTTTCACAAGCACAGATTTATATCTGTTTTCAGGCTTCTTGATTCTAGAAACTGTCTCAATAACTCTGAGGTTGGACTTGGTAGGCTGTGGTGGCACTGTCGTGGACTCAAGCCTGCGTACATGTGGAAGTGCAGGATTAGACTGCTGAGGAGGGGGGTACATGGGCCAGGCGGAAGCTGAATAAGCCATACCATGTCCATATGCATTATAGCTAGGTGGGGGCATTGTGGGAGGAGGATAATTTCGCATTGCCTGAGCGGCAAGGAACGCTGTAAAGTGTGATAGTGAATACTGGGAAACTGGGGGAGGAGGTGGCGGCAAGTTAGGCGGCAAAGGCGGTGCTGATGGAGTTACGGATACTGAAGGAAAAGATTGCTCTGGTGGGCCAGCAGAATTATTGTACTCCAGTGTTTTAGCATGCTTTGCTATCGGAGCAGAGAATACATCATCAGATGGTTGGAAAGAACCACATGGTGACAAAGAATTCTTACAATCTGACTCTGAAGAATGAGTATTGCTCTGAATGTCGTCCTTCTCACTAGAGTCTGCTTTATAAGAAAGACCATCTATAGAACGCAATGTTTTTTTCCCGTGGAGCCGTTCTTGCGTACGGGCGGCACCCTCACCAATTTCAACCACCCCAATGTCAAGACCAATAGTTTTGAGCAAGTCATGGATCTTTTCATACTCTATTCCGGACCCTTCCGAATTGTCTGGTTTTACAGATGGGATAGGAGATGGGGGTCTCTTATTCAGGCTTACAGATTCCTTCCCACCATTCACTGTTAGCATCTCAGTAGGAGGACAGTTAATGTTAGAGTCATCCTCATCATCACCATAAAGAAACGTCTCTTCATCTTCAACATCAAGGATGCTGTGCCTTCTTTTCTCTTGAGTGCTGGTAGAATCTGCCATCCTGCCCAGAATGTGTGAGATACCACTCCCATCCTGGCTGGCTCTTTCATGAGGAAGGAGGAAGTCGTCATGCGGGTCTGCAGACTCTGACGTCAACTCCTGATACTTTTTTCTCAAAAAACTCCCAAAACTCTGTTCAGAGGGCTAAAAAACAAATATACAAGATGATTTCTCATTTCTTACGATATTCTCTAATGAGGTTAATCAATATTACATCTACAGAAAAAACAACACTTCTGTATAAAAAGGCTTAGCTTAGAAACATGCACAAAAATATATCTTTGACTAGAAAAGAAAGTACAACAACAAGGCAGGAAATGTCAGTTTAACTGTCTTGGTAACAGCCATTCTTACTAATTTCCTCTCTCCATTTTGAAATGAGGGCAATGTGAGAGTTTTGTTTGCTTTCATTAATGTTGCTACACAGCCAAGGACAACTGCTTAAGTGTTATGACAAATGCATTGCATGATTCCTGAGTACCTGAAATAATGCAATGTGGGTAGCACCATAAGTTAAATATGAGCTGCCAGTGTGATGCAGTGACAAAAATGGGTAATGCAATTCTGAGGTGTATACCAACAGAGGCATAACATCCAAATCGCAAGATGTCATAGTCAGGCCACACCTGGAGTATTGTGTGCAGTTCTGGAGGCCTCACTTCAAAAAGGATGTGGACAGAATGGAGCAGGAGCAGAGGAGAGCGATGAAGATGATGAAGGGCCTGGAGACCAAGCCCTATGAGGAAAGGCTGAGGGACTTGGGAATGTTTAGTCTGGAGAAAAGGAGGTTGAGGGGGGACATGATTGCTCTCTTTAAGTATCTGAAGGGCTGTCACTTAGAGGAGGGCAGGGAGCTGTTCCTGTTGGCAGCAGAGGACAGAACGCGCAATAATGGGTTTTAATTAATGGTGGGAAGGTACCAGATGGATATTAGGAAAAACCTTTTTTCCAGTCAGAGTTGTTCAACAGTGGAATCAGCTACCTAGAGAGGTGGTGAGCTCCTCCTTACTGGCAGTCTTTAAGCAGCAGCTGGACAAATATTTGAAAGGGAGTGGGCTATAATAAATGAAATGAAATACTACAAAATATAATGTACAAATGTAATGTGTTAAATATTGCTAGCATCTCATCATATATGAAAATTAGGATGCTCCAAGCTACTTTTACCAACCCGCCCTTAAACTCATGTCCATTAAAAAATAATTTAGATTTCTTCTGCTCCAAAATCCACTCCACTTGATCTCATTACATAAGTTTCATTTCATTTTATTTTATTTATTTGCCAGCAAATTGCAGCTAACTTATGACAACCCTGTAGGTTTTCAAGGCAACAGACATTCAGAGATGGTTTGCCATTGCCTGCTTCTGCATGGCAACGCTGGTATTCTTTGGTGGTCTGCCAACCAAGCACTCACCACGGCCCAGGCTGCTTCATTTCATACCACTGTTTTTTTTCTCTATAACAACTCTATCCAAAAGCACAGAATTTTAAAAAACACAATTTGGCAATAATTGCACCATGAATTCTAAAAAAAATTAAATATCCTCATGCGCAATCAAATGGCACTTCAGATGTTAAATATCTATATATCTAATTCCAACAGATGGTGTGTTGTACGGATACTTATTTCCACTAACAGGAAGCTCACTCTGCCCCAACAGCTTTTCCTACATAGTCAGTATACTTCCTGTGTCTGCAGAAAAATCCAAGAAGTAAAAAAATCCCTCCAGGGACGGCTGAATTCCCCCCAATACCTTTTGAAATGGCCTCTGCAGGGAGCTAACTCAGGCATCAACGGTGAGAGAGAGATTAGAAGTTCGAGGGGGGGGGAGAGGCTTCTAACTGGCTCTGTGAGTCAAAGGGCGGGGGAAGGACCCTTTCCAGGCCTCTTTTGGCCTTTCAAGGAGGGAGGGAGGAAAGGAGCCGTGGGGCCAGGCCTCAAGAGTTGCCAGTGCCAGGCTGGGGGATTTCTAGAGATTTTGTGGAGGGCTGGGTTTGGGAAGAGAGAGACCTCAGCTGGGTATAATGCCACAGAGTCCACCCTCAAAAGCAGCCATTTTCTGCAGGGAGACAGACCTCTGCTATGTAGAATCCAGTTGTAATTCTGGGGGGTCCCCAAGTCCCATTTGGAGGTTGGCAACTCTAGGCCTGGCAGTTATCTAGGGTTGCCAGGTCCCCCCTGATTTGCATGACTCACCTAGCCTCGGCTGCTTGCTACCATTCATCAGCAGGCACCCTATGAAAGCCAGTGAGGGGCAGCAGTTAGAGCTTCAAAGTAGGGTCTGCAAGACCCAGGTTCAGATCCCCATCTTGCAGAAGCTGAGTTAGTGTGAGCTAGCTCACAGTTTTTTAGCCTCCAGCTCACACATTTTTGTCTTAGCTCAGGAAGGATGGCTCCAGAAGACAAACAGGCAGATAAAGGTAAACTGGCTGTTAATTAATAAATAAATAAATAAATAAATAAATAAATAAATAGGGTTGCCAACTCCAGGTTGGGAAATTCCTGGACATTTGAGGGGTGGAGCAGAAAAAGAGAGAGAAAGAGTGATGAAGTGGGGAGGAAGAAAAACAATGAGAAAGATGACAGGTCAGAAAGAGAGAGGAAGTCACATGCATGGAGGAGAAAGAGAGAGCAAGAAAAGGGGGGCAGAGGGGAGAAATAGTGTGAGAGAGGTAGGGGGTGAGGAGAGGAAGCAAAGGTGTGATGAATGAGATAACCATCCCGCAAGTTTCTTGCGGGCCTCCACTTGTATAGTTACTAATGCTAAATCAACACAGTGAAGGAAACCAGGATGAAATTGTACTTTGAGGATACTTGTTCCACTAAAGAACAAAGACTGAAAACAGATTAAATATTATATTCAAGATTAAACAATGAAGTATGATTGACAATTTAACAAGCAGGGAGGAGAATGTGCATCAAACCTGCATGGTAGGATCATCTACTCGTTTCTTCAGGATTGATTTTTTGGGCATTGCTGGTGCTTCATCAGGTCTATAAAGGTATTGAGATTCAGAAGACTGCAGAGAGTTAGTCAAGCCACGAATCACATAATCACCGCCAGGACAATCTTGAAATGTATTTTTGCTCAGCTCCTCCTCTTCCCTGTTTCTTCTAGAACTCACAGGGTCCTCATCAGGGTACATTTGACTACTACTAAGCCTTCGTTTGTAGTAATTTCGGTTTTCTGACAAGGAACCTCGAGGATCTGTGCTCACATCAAGCATTCTGTCCTCTCTGTCAGATCGAAGCCGCTTTGGATTAATCCTCTCCTCCTCTGATGGATATAAGGACTTTGTAAATAGTTTGCCATCCCTGTCAGATTCTCTTGGTAGATCTTCTAGACAGTCATCATTCATGTCATAGTCTGATTGGTGGAGGAAAGCATCCCTACCACGATAGTCCTTGTGATATCTTGTACTGAAAGAACTAGGACTTTCCTGTCGAGAACGATATTGCTCAGGGCTTCGGGAATGTGAAAGTCCTCTGATAAATACTGAATCCTCATCCAGGTAACCCCTGATAATGGACAGATAAACAAAGAAACTCTAAGGTCAAATTAACATGAAATAGTCCACGACTTTCCAAAACCCAGCCCTATTTCTTGCATTCAACCCAACATGGCTGGTTCTGAGGGTTCTTCATATTTAGCAGCAGCTCACTAGTACTATGTTACTCTTCCTGAAGAAAGCTGAAGCAACTTGGAGGTGACTTTTTCTTCAGCAAGAAAACAGCCCCTCTCCTCCCTGGCACCCTATGCTTTCTCCTCCAAGAAAAAGACCTATCAGAGCCCTCATATGGAAAGAACAACATATGCTGTGTAAAAGAAACATGGAAAAACAACCCTTTAAGATCCTATGAGATTTTCCTTCATTTGTCCCCTTTCCCTCTTAACATGTGCCCACTGAGCCATTCTCCCCCCTCTCCCAGGAAGCCAGCTACACTGTGCCCTTGTATCCTCTATGCCACTGGTGGGGTGGGAACAAGAGATAGTCATAGCTTTTGCTCTCTGTTCTGGAATCTGAACCTCTGCCTTTGAGGGAAGGAGGTTGTATGTCACTTTCTCCCATCTTCCCTTCCTCCCTTTCTCTTCTGTCTACAGTAAATATGATCCTTTTCCATCTTTGTACCTATTACCCAACACTGCACACAATTCATGTTACGTTGGCTCTGATCTGCTATTTGCATCTGTACTTTCTGGACCAAATCTGAGAGGCATACAGGAGAAATACTATTCAACACATATGCCTTTGGTTATGACATAAGGCTGTACTACAAGAGGCCTCACTTACATCCTTAAGCCTTACGCCATTCTATCTTTATTAGAACCCCCCCCCCCCTTTTTGGTCCAGTACTGATTTGTTAATAGCTACAAGTTGTATCATATATGTATGTAATATGCTTGACCGCTGAAGAAGGCCTTTTCGGGCCAAAACAGGGTCGCAATAGTTTCCACTTGTGTTTTATGTATTTTAATTTGTATTGAGGCTAATGTTGGGCCCCTAAATGTTTTTAATTATTTAACAATAAATACATGTATCTTTTATAATATCTGAGCCATATATATTGATCTTAACATTAGCCCCTCAACTTGGTTTGTTGTTAACCTTTTCAGTTCTTGATTCCTATTACCCAACAACCATCCCATTGCCTTTACCTGCAGCACAAACTGCACATGAATTAGCAGCCAAGGGGTTTGTCCCTCACTTATTTCCCCATGCTCGTGCTCTCTCTCTCTCTCAATGCTCAGCACAGGGAATGTAGCCCCACTCCCCTAAGATCCCTACTGGTGATTTCAGCATTTTCTGGTGTCTCAGTCTAACCCTGAACACTCATCAGGATGAAGGAAATGCGTTTGTGAAATACTGAAAGAAATCATATTTCATTCTAGACAATCTAAAAAAATACTTCAAAGTATATTTGAGACAGACTTTCTTCCTGTCAGCATGATGACTATTATGCAACCTAAGAATGTAATGATGAATATAATTTGAATTGTAATATTTGGGCCTACTAATCAAGCCCTTTGATATATCCAAAAACTACCTCTGGATGTCCCAAAACTCTAAATCAGGGGTGTCAAACATATGGCCCACGGGCTGGATTCGGCTCCTGCAGGGCTCAGATCCAGCCCATGAGCAAGTGGCTCCTTCTTGCTTCCTTCTCCATGGCTGCTGCTGCATCGCAGCTCGTTTTTGCCCAGCTCTCTCTGATATTCAATTATAATATAAATGAAATAAATAAATAATAATAAATAAATTAGAAGAAATCTAACTTGATGTTTTGATCTGTCATGGTTTTTCTTCACATCTGAGCTGGATTATGAGAGGAGCTGTAACCTGGTTGGGGAAGGGCATGATCTGTACACAGAGCCAGTTCTCTTTGGTAACTTTATACCTATGATGACCAGGGAAGACTCCATCAGAGATGTTACTCCGATCAGTACTCCAACTGAAGTACTCCAGTACTGAAGCAGGGTCAGTAATGGTATATATGTTTTAGATGGAATCTTCTAAACTGGGAATCTGCCAGGTTAGGAGTGAAATAGTTCCAAGGTCGGACCAGGATCCAGGAGACCCAGATTAGAATCCCCACCCTGCCATGGTAGCTTGCTGGGTGACCTTGGGTTAGTCCAGGGGTGGCCAAACTTGCTTAACGTAACAGCCACACAGAATAAACATCAGATGTTTGAAATGTTTGAGCGCCGCAAGACATGAACAAATATTACACACACGTTTTTATTGAAAAATATGCAATTTGCTTTTTATTAACATTAAATTAGACTGTGTGAAAGAGCCGCATGCAGCTCCCAAGTTTGGCCACCCCTGGATAAAATGGGGGAGAGGAAAACTGTGTTAGCCACTTTGTGTTATCACTGGAAAGAAAGGTGGGATATAAGTAAAATAACTAAAGGGAAAAGGTATCTACTGTGGTTTTCACATTAGTTTTTCAGCTATACAAGACAAGCCCACTGTTAGCAGAACCTGAGACATCCTGCCCTTAGGCACAGTAAACCCCACCACTAGGGAAAAAAATCCAAGTAGTGACAGCCTGATAGGAATCTGTTACTCTCCAGCCTGATCAGCTGAATTAAAATTCGATTTCTTAGGTTAAAAATTTAAAAGAAACAAGTGTGCAAAATACATGTTTCTACTATTATACTACTATTATTATATATTATATACCTTTCCTAATGCAAACTGTTCAGTTAACGGAAGATACAAACCTGAACCTCAAAAAAGGATACTAAAAAACCTAGATGCAGAACAAATCCAACACTATCTAGTTTTTTTACATTTTCTATATCCACAGAAAATCTTTATTGTTTTACGTAATTTACAGGAAAAGAAAAAAAGACGTTCTTGATTCTGAAATGCTGATTGTTAGAGAACCCTACCTGTCAACATCACTTAGTCTGTCAGACAGTCTCCTTCGTTCTCGTGGGTCAATGCCATAAACGTCACTGTTAAATTCAGTCCACAAGTTCTGTTCCACTGAAGATTCAGAGTGTCGACTTGGAGAACAACTGCCCGGAAACTGTGAGTGCCTTTGTGAAGAGCATGACTGCCTCCTTGGAGAACATCTCTGCATAAGGAGAAAAATTCAACCCCATCACACACAACATTCTTTTATTAAGAACAGTCTTTAGAGCCTTTGCGTAACAGATGGAACTACAAATCAGTGCCAATTTCAAACACACAACATTTTCTGATATGCACGACCTGGGCTGAAGACACCTGAAAAATAACTAATAGAAAATGATATAAGTAAATGGACAGTTCTCAGAATGAAGTATGCAATGGAATTCCCCAAGGATATGTATTAAAAGTGGTTCTATTTAACTGGTGCATAAATTATCTGTACCAATAACACCAAACTATTCAGGTTGGCTAAAATCTAAGCTGACTACAAAGAACTCCAAAATAAATAGGCAATTAATGCAAGTGAGGATCAATGATCACAATCAGCCATTATCATGGCAAACTCTGTAGCAGCTGTTGTCATGCTTGCATGCTTCTCTCCCACTTCCACTCACACATGAATGAAATTAAAGTTTGCTAGGTTCAGAAAGCTTTGAGTTCAACTCCAATTCACTGTGAACTGAATGCAGACTGCTAGACACACTAGAGTTTGTTTCTTCTCTACAAACTAGGATTCTAAACTGAAATTGAAACAAAGGTTTAAGACCCCAATTTGTAAGTGAAAACAAAATCAAATTTGCTCAGGTGAGTGCATTTGGATTTCCTGGTTAACTGGAGTTTGATTCATGGCTTCCCAATTCAAGAAACCTTCAAGCAAAGAGGATGGGCCTTGTGTACAATGTAAGTAAATGGAGAGCAACATACATGTATTATGCTCTCCCCACTAAGGCCTTTGCTTTGGGAGCTGCAAGAACCTGCTGGAATCAGTGCAATAGCAAGATAAGCCTCTCAGGTGTTATGACCTCCGTATTTAGAGGCAATGTTACCAAACACAAGTCACTAGAGTAAAAACAAGGAAGAGCTACTGTCTTCCTACTTTGCTTGTGGTCTTCCGAATGGCATGTGTTCAGCTGCATGTGATTGGAAATTCCACAACTGGACATTCTAATACATTAGAAAAACACGGCTATCCTATATACACTTGTTAATCACCCTGAGCCTTATTTATAAATAATTGGAATTGAGCATTTGCTGAACAGAGGCAAACCATATTGCTGAGTTTATCTAACCCAAATGCTTTGTAATTCTTGAACAGTACTAAGAACATCAGAGGAGCCCTGCTGGATCAGACCAGTGGTCCATCTAATTCAGCATCCTGTTTCACACAGTGGCCAACCACTTTTTAAATTTGGTTTATAGCCCGCCCTCCCCCGTATAGGGCTCGGGGCGGGGAACAACATTTCAGTAACAGCATTAGCAATCAGGTTAAAATTTTTAAAACTTACAGAAATTAAAATAGCTTAACAATTGAACAAGTGGACTAACAATTTGCAGATGACACATAAACAGACAAACTAGCATCTCTTCCCCATAACAGAATATAAGAACAGAGCCAGACAAGATGGAGAAAACCATTGCTGTCCTCAGCCACAGGCCTGGCAGAACATCTGTCTTATAAGCCCTGCGGAACTGCATTAGGTCCCGCAGGAAATGAATGTCATCCAGCAGAGAGTTTTACAAGGCTGGCACCAAGGCCTAAAAAAACTGGCTCTGGTTCAGGACAGCTGGATGCTTTCTGGGCCAGGGATCACGAATAAGTTCTTCCCACCTGAACGTAAAGCTCTTTGGGGGATATGCCAGGAGAGGTGGTCTCATAGGTACATTGATCCCAGACTGTTTAGGGCCTTAAAGGTTAGTACCAGAACCTTCAACCTGATCTGGTATTCAACTTGGAGCCAGTGCAGCTGGTGTAGCACCAGTTGTATGCGGGCTGACGATGCGGTTCTGGTTAGAACCCACGGAGCCATATTCTGGACCAGCTGTAGTTCCTGGGTCAGTCTCAAGAGTAGCCCTGTGTAGAGCGGGTTACAGTAGTCTTACCTGGAGGTGACTGTTGTGTGGATCACTGTGACTAAGTCAGGGTAAGAAAGGAAGGGAACCAGTTAACTGATCTGATGTAACTGCAGAAATGACAGTCTGGCAACATTGGTGATCTGGGTCTCCATTGATAACGAGGCATCCAGAAACTCACTCAGGCTCTTGACAGTCGGCACTGGTGTTAAAGGCACACCATCAAGAGCCGAAAGTTGGCAAACTAACCCAGAGTCCCCCCTACCCAGCCACAGGACCTCTGTCTTAGATGGATTCAGTCTCGGCCAGCTCTGTTTCAACCATCCAACCACGACCTCTAATCCCATGGCCAAAATATCTGGGGAGGTGTCTGGCCTTCTGTCCATCAACAGATACAGCTTGGTGTCATCCGCATACTGGTTACAACCCAGCCCAAAACTCTGTACCAGCTGGGCGAGGGGGCACATATAGATGCTAAATAACACTGGAGACAGGACTGCCCCTTGAAAGACTCCACGTACCAGAGAGTATCAGGGAGAGAACCTCTCTCCTAGCATCACCCTCTGTCCCTGGCCGTGGGAAAATGAGGCAAGCCACTTCAAGGTGGTTCATGGTCAACTGTGTCAAACACTGCTGTCAGGTCAAGTAACAACAGAAGCGCCGACCCACCTCGATCTAGCAGCCTACGAAGACAGTCTGTGAGGGCGACCAATGCTGTCTCCATCCCCTGGCCAGGGCTGAAACTGGACTGGAATTGGTCTAGAGCCAATGTGTCCTCCAGGAAGGTAGGGACCTGCTCCGCCACTATGATCTCAATTACCTTACCCAGAAACAAAAGATTCAAGACTGGGCAGTAATTGGTCAAATCAGTAGGAGGCAAATATGGTTTCTTTAAGAGAAGTGTCACCACAGCCTCTTTTAGTCCCCCTGGATAGAACCATATCTCACCATAATTCAAAAGAATCTATTCTTCAGTGCTCAGCCTTCCTTATAGTCCAACTCTCGCAGCCATACCATTGCTTTGACCATGCGGACTTTTGTTGGCACGGTGATGTCTCTACTTTTTATTATGCTGTCAAGGTTTGCCATCGCTTTCCTCCCAAGGAGCAGGCGTCTTTTAATTTCATGGCTGAAGTCACTGTCTACAGTGATCTTGGATCCCAGGAACATGAAGTCCGCCACTGCTTCCACGACTTCCCCTTCTATTTGCCAAGGAGTGATGGGGCCAGATGCCATGATCTTACTTTTTTTAATATTGAGTTTCAAGCCACCTTTTGCGCTCTCCTCTTTCACCCTCAGTGAGAGGCTCTTTAGGTCCTCTTCACTTTCTGCCATTAGAGTGGTATCGTCTGCATATCTGAGGTTGTTGATGTTTTCCCCAGAAATCCTAATTCCGACTTGTGATTCATCCAGGCCGGCATTTTGCATGATGTACTCTGCATATAAATTAAATAAACAAGGTGACAATATACATCCTTGTCGTATTACTTTTCCTATGCTAAACCAATCAGTTGTTCCATATCCTGTTCTAACCGTTGCTTCTTGACCCTTATACAGGTTTCTCAAGAGAAATGTGAGGTGGTCTGGTACTCCCATCTCTTTAAGGACTTGCCACAGTTTGTTGTGATCCACACAATTAAAGGCTTTAGCGTAGTCATTGAAGTAGAAGTAGATGTTTTTCTGGAACTCCCTTGCTTTCTCCATAATCCAGCAAATGTTGGCAATTTGATCTCTAGTTCCTCTACCTCTTTGAAACCCAGCTTGTACTTCTGGCAGTTCTCTATCCACGTACTGAGGTTATTCTCTGGCAGTGTGTGCAGGCTCTCTCTGTGGTTGTTTCACCCTCCAGCTCAGCGGGGTTTACTCCTCAAGGGCGTTCCGAAAGCGAAGGTGCTTTTTCTGAGGAGGTCCAAAGTCTCTCTCTAAAACATGTGTTAAGCAGGACTCCAGTGGCTGCTTCAGGATACTCACGCAAATTTATGCTGGAATACATGTCTCCAGGGTGCCATTACTGATGTGGGTTTTCCGGGAAATTTTTAATCAGAAAAATGTCCAATTCACATCTGGAATAAATAGTTCAAATAACCTCAGGTGAGTAACTTTTTTAGGAGGTCCAAACTCTCTCTCTCAGACATGTATTAAGCAGGACTCCAATGGCACACAACTTGACGGCATGCGCAGAACGTCTGAATAATAATGATATCAGGATGCTGTATCTGAGCTATATACAGTGGCTTTTATTTACAGTTATTTACACAGTCCTTTCCACCATGCGGTATCCCAGGTTCATAGAACTGACCGACAAGGTGCTTCGCAATACACTCTTCCACTGGTGTGGAACACTTGCCTCTGGACTACATTACATATATACAGTACTTGCACCAATCAGAGTCATTTTGCCAACTCATGGTGACATAGTTAATTAGCTGATGCAACCTAGTGCAACTTGCATCTGGTGACCCTGTCACATGACAGTCTTACCTGTCACCCAGATCAGTTTAATCTGACATGTGTGCATCATTGGCTGTCATCTTGCATACATATAATACAATATGCCAACAAACATGAATGGCCTAGTGGTTTTCCCAATTTTCTTCAGTTTAAGTCTGAATTTTGCAATGAGTAGCTCATGATCTGAGCCACAGTCAGCTTCAGATCTTGTTTTTACTGACTGTATAGCTTCTCCATCTTTGACTTCAAATGGTATAGTCAATCTGATTTCGGTGTTGCCCATCTGGTGATGTCTATGTGTAGAGTCGCCCCTTAGGTTGTTGGAAGAGGGTGTTCACTATGACCAGCGTGTTCTCTTGACAAAACTCTGTTAGCCTTTGCCCTGCTTCATTTTGTTCTCCAAGGCCAAGCTTGTCTGTTATTCCAGTTATCTTTTGACTTCCTACTTTAGCATTCCAGTCCCCAATGATGAGGAGGACATCTTTTTTTGGTGTTAGTTCTATGAGGTGTTGTAGGTCTTCATAGAACCGGCCCACTTCAGCCTCTTCTGCATCAGTGGTTGGGGCATAGACTTGGAATTATTGTGATGTTGAATGGTTTGCCTTGGATTCAGACTGAGATCATTCTGTTGTTTTTGAGATTGTATCCCATCACTGCCTTTTGCACTCTCTTGTTGTCTATAAAGGCCATACCATTTTTTCTACGGGATTCTACGGCCGCAGATATAATGGTCTTCTAAGTTAAATTCACCCATTCCTGTCCACTTTAGTTCACGGATTCCCAAAATGTAGAAATAGTAGATTAGAAATAATAGAAGAAATATTAGAAATAATGGTCTTCCAAGTTAAATTCACCAATTCCCATTCACTTTAGTTCACTGATTCCCAAGATGTCAATTTTCAGTTTTGCCATCTCATTTTTGACCACATGAAGCTTACCTTGATTCATAGATCTTACATTCCAGATTCCTATGCAGTATTGTTCTTTGCAGTATCGGACTTTCCTTTCACCATCAGACACATCCACAACTGAGCTTCCTTTCGGCTTTGGCCCAGCCACTTCACTCTTTCTGGGATTACTTGTACTTGCCTTCTGCTTTTCCCCAGTAGCATATTGGACACCTTCCGACCTGAGGGGCTCATCTTCCAGCGTCATATCTTTTAGCCTTTTTTCCATGAGGTTTTCTGGGCAAAGATACTGGAGTGGGTTGCCATTTCCTTCTCCAATGAATCACATTTTGTCTGAGTTCTCTGCTGTGGCTTGTCCATCCTGGGTGGCCCTCCACGGCATAGCCCACAGCCTCATTGAACCACACAAGCCCCCTTGCCACGTTAAGGCAGTGATCCATGAGAGAGGTATTCCCTCTCGTACCACATGGTTATTCATGGTGTGGCTGCTGTTGAACAGGAATAAGCAGACACGCAGGTGTGGGTCAGTCAGGCCAGGCAGGTGGTAGCAGGTTGCCCAGCAGTTCCTGGTGGGCCTGGCTTGGATGAATCTCCACTCAGGCCAAAAAAACTCTGGACAGGGTCTTTCCCCAACCCCTTGCATTTAAGTGACAGAAACCAGGGCTTCAAGTCTGGCAATGATGTTATGGCTGCTTAGCAACAGCCACTGAAGGTATTCATTTCTTCAAACAACTAGATCTGATTCTATTATTGGGGTGGGGTTAACCCCACTGTCTTCTTTTTATATTTCAATTTTTTCTTCAAATGTGGGGCTTAACTCCTATTTCCAAACTTAACTACCCACAGATTTGGTAATGTTGAGAACTAGCTATATTGATTTAGATTTTTTATAGGTACACTACTAATTCACCAGCTCACAAAGTGCAACAAAGGTGGCGGGGGGGGGGGGGGGGGGCTAAACTGCATTCTTTCCTGAGGACGATAATATCGTTTTCTCAAACAGCTTCTTCGGACAGAAAGGAAATAAATTTCAAAGAAGAAGTGCAGTACCGAGGTTGTGTATTTATCAGCAACCGCTGTGTGATAACAGAAACCACGCAGAACTGGGGGAGGGGGGGGCGGGGAGCGAAAGAGAAGCTCCGTTTCAGGCCGAAGGCGAGCCGGCGGCTCTTTCCAGGGGCGCCACGGAGGGAAGAAGGAGAAACCGAGGTCAAGTCTTCGGGGATCCTTACCTTGCTCAAGCTGCCGTCTCGCTGCTCAGATCCGCGGCGGCTCCGGCTGCCCCCAGATGGAGAGCCCACCCTACTCGTGAGGCGCGGAGACGGCGACCGGCCCCGGGGAGAGGGCGAGCGGCGGGGGCTGCGGCCTCGAGTCGGGCCTGACGTGGAGGCGCCGGAGCGGGAAGTGCGGGAGCCCGAGCTGCTGCTTTCCTTGGACCGGCTAGAGGACGACAGGCTCGAGCGGCCGCTGCTAGAGCGGTACATGGCCACGGGAGCGGCGGAGGCCGCATTCACTCCCTCCCCCGCACCGACTGCCCCACCACCGCTGTATGTACGCATGCGCGCGCGACGCAAACGCCGCCGACAGTGAGGCCAGGAGATGGAGAGACCGCCAAACAAACAAAATGGCGGAGGCGGACCGCGCGTCACGTGGAAGGAGAGAGCCTCTAGGGGGCGGTGGCTGGGGCTGGAAAGGAGGCGCCTGACGATAGGAAAGGAGCGCGAGCCTGGCATGCGCTCTGCTTTTCTGTTTTATTTCGTATTTTATTTATCATCAGAGGTGTATGCGAGGCAACGGAATTTATACGCACTAGAGTCTTTGAAAAGACGATTTAAGTGCGCTTGTGTCGCGGGGGGTGGTGGTGGTGGTGGAACCTGTCCGTAGTATGCCTCCAGTCCTGAGTCTCACATGATTGGCTGTGAAATTGTTGCAGAATATTTAGTCACAGCTGTTGTTAAAGAAATAACATGTACTCACCTCTGTCCATTTGGTCATCGTGAACAGTTGGTACACTATCGTAACAAAGACTTGTGTCTGCGAGGGTGTATTTCGCCAATAAAAAAAATCGAGTGGGTGTGACAGTTCCTGAAGCCTGATCATCACAGGATCAGCAGTAGCAGCAAACAAGAGGCTTGTGGCATCTTTCTGTTGTGAGCTTCCCTGGACCTAAAGTTAGTAATTAGAACATTATTCTAAAAGACCCTTTCTTTCTCTCAAACATGTAACAATTACCAACTAACATATAAAAATATTAAGGCAGCGATCGTGTAGACACTTTCTTGGGAATAAGTCTGAGTAACATGGAACTTACTTCTGAGTAGAACTGCTTAGGGTCGTTCCCTAAGAGACTTCTCATAATTTTCTCACTTTCAGCATACACTTGCAATATTACAATACCTCTCCAACATGAGGACACAGACGTAGTAACTGTTAGCAAAATAGAGTAGGGACTTGGTTGTGTTAGACAGAACCTCTGTCCTGGTTGTGTTTGCCCAGGCCAGTTTGAGAAAACACACAAAGTCCTGTAGAGTAGAAGACTAAAAAATAATGTATTAATAAAGGAAGAGTACAGATTTCAAGGTTTTGGAACCCTGAATACCCTACAGACTCTTCGAGTGTTACAATGGGTGACATAGGATTTTATACTCAGGATGATGCACACAAATTGAACAAGATTATTGGTTCCATCAAACATCAGCACTCTGACCTAACAGGTCTCTGATTGGCAGAAAACCTTTTAGGCTGGGCTTTCCCAAGTAAAGCTTTTTCTTTTAGCTGAACAATAAGTGTTTCTTTCTCTTAGACTGTAAAATTCTAAAAGTAACTATATAGCTGATATGGTTTACAAGGTGCCATTGTTCTTCATTTAGCCAGAGACATGCGCAGTTATAGCTGGCCTACCAAGGCCATAAGCCTCAGCAAAAATAGCAAGTTAACATTTTGTTCTTTCAGCATTTTACCTTCCCAGCATGCATCCAAACAACAGTCACAAATGAACCAAAGTTAATACCTGAATACATTCATGATGTTAGAATTATAAATGGCACTTAACATATGCACCATGGATGTGCTAAGTGCACCCACCAAGTCAAACCTGTTAGTCAGTGGCAGAGTATAAAGTGTTTCATAAACTGTGCATACAACAGTTGCTAGTGACCACCTGACCCAGCATATCCAAGAGTCAGTGTGGTATCATGATTAGAGTGTCAGACTAGGAGATAAAGGTAAAGGTTCCCTTGCTCAAAAGCCAGTCGAATCCGTCTCTAGCATTGTGGTGCTCATCTCCGTTTCCAAGCCAAAGAGCCAGCACTGTCCAAAGACATTTCCATGGTCATGTGGCCGGCATGACTAGACACCAAGGCGCATGGAACGCTGTTCTAGGAGACCCAGGTTCAAATTCCCACTTTGCCACTTTGCCATGGAAGCTTGCTGGGTTATCTTGCATGAGTCCTATACTCTTAGCATAACCTTGCAGGATTGTTGTGAGGATAAAATGGAGGAGTGGCAAACAGTGTAAGCTGCTTTGGGGTATACATGAAACATTTCATTACCATATTTTCATACACATATTTAGGGCTACCAAAAATGCAACTATACCAAATTCTGATTTGGATAGAGATTGCTTTCTCGCAGGGGTCATTTCGTAGAGAAAGAGGTGCAGGAGCTCATTAGCATAACTCATTAGCATAATTTGTTTGCATATGCCACACCCCCTGACGTCACCGGAAGTGTGTCAGAAGGTAACACCCACCGCTCAGGCTCCACTGGACTGTTTTGGATTGCTAGCTATTGGGGGGGGGGGAGGAATGTGCAGATCTGTCCTCACAGAGGAGGGAGAGCTTGTACCTGAATAAAACCTGGTCTTAAAGGTGCCACTGGACTGTCTAGGACTGGGGGGGGTCGGGGGGAGCTCTGCAACTTACCTGGCTGCTTCTTGCTCTGACTGAGGGCTGCTGGGAGCAGGGGGTGGGGCTTGTTGGTTGTGCCCACCCCCTGGGCTCTTTACTGCCGGAGCTCCGCTCCTGTGTGCTCCTGCAGGAAATGACCCCTGCTTTCTCGGTTCATTACATTTTAAAAGTATTTTAATAGGTATCATTTGATACCTCCTGTTCCCAGATCTACTATATCAGTGAGAGTGCAATGCAAACAAAATTAACATGAGACATTCTGTGAATTAAATTATGTACATTGGTTCGCTTAAATTTCATATATTATGTAAATCATTTTGTTTTTGTGTATGCTGCAACAGTAGAAGTGCTGGAAACATACATTTCAGGATGGCATTTCTTGAAAACTTGTTAAAAATGTCTTTTTTCGTATAAAAAGCAGCCAGGTAACTTGAAAATTTTGTTTTCAAAGATAGATCCAGGTGGTCAGCCATGTTGCATATCTTAAACATCCTCATGTTACATGTTAATTTCCCTGTCTATAAGTTTGAAGCTTACCCACCATTCCAATGTATTTGAAAAAATGTGCATGCACACAAAAGCTTATACCTTGAATCAACCTTTGTTGGTCTTAAAGGTGCCACTGGACTCTAAATTTGTTCTATTGTTTTTAAAGACATCACTCAACTGAACTCTTACAAAACTCAAAAGGTAAGTATAAAACCTGAACCTACTACTGTATATATTGAATTTAAATAGAAGAATGAATAGTCCTAACACCTAACCATATTGTAGTAGGTGTCACCGGGGGGGGGGGGGACAGGACAGGGATCCAGAGGTTTAATATGTTGGAAATATGTGTGTTGAAAGGTCTAAATTCAGTCATTATAGGGTTAATAGCCAAGAATGTAACCTGGCTCAAAGCCAATGGGGAGAAAGCCAGAAACGAGCCTATTTACTAACAATCATTGGTTAATGTATTCAGGTGATTTCCTTCTAGGATCAAGAAGAAAGAAGAATCTCCATTACCAACTGTGGGGTCAGTCAGTCTGTTGTTGTGCTTGTAACAGTAAGGATGTAGTCTTAAGTGTTTGTTGTTTTGTAGATTTCCCATGTACCTTTCCCTTTAGAAATAAATATTTTTACATAGAAAGAATATGCCTCCTCTCTAGTGAACAAAGATCCATTGCAAGCTCTGAATATCTAACTACTACCAGCAATAGAAAATAGCCTAGCAAATCAAGAAAACATAAGGGGTTTGCAATAACATGAAATCTGGGCTAAAGGAAAGATAATAACAATAGACAACAAATTTTGTGAACATCATCTGAAATTTCGTGGCTTCCAGGAGAACATAGGAGGTGCAACTGACCTTTCTGCATTCATGGGTTGCTGCCTAGCCTCAGTTTTTCATTTAGAGGAAGGCATAACCCCTATAGTTTTGAAGGCATACAGATTGGGCCTAATAAATCCCAGTTGATGGCAACTACCTCGGGATATTTTGTAAGAATTCTTAGACTCCCATACTAAGAAATGCATTTTGCAAGAAGCATGGTCCAGCAGAGGCAATTCCAATATGTAAAAATGTTAGTGTTCCCATCTCTCAGCGGAGACGTTGCAGATTCAACGCACTCTAAAACCCGTAACTCTCAAATTAGCAGAAGCCAGCTCAGATATAGATGGATGGCATCGGGGAACCCTCCTCATCTGATATCAAGGGACTGCCTTACAAACACATGATGATAAAACTGGACAAGAACTTCTCCAGGCTTTGAAGTTGGTCCCCACTCAGGACTCTTCCTTGAAAAAACTTCTACAGGAAAATTAGAGTTCTTTGCCTTCCCTCTCCAGTGGAGCAAGATACCGGTGCAAAGATCCTTTTAAAGCATGGTTGAGAAGAAACACAACGGGAATTCAAAAATAGGACTTGGAGCCAGAAGACCATAATGTTTACCAACACATTTCAATGTTGTCGGGGGAGGGAGGGTGTGTGGGGGACTTCTCAAGCTCTTGCCATTTTAGGAACTGAAATGGCAGGGCTTTCGAGGCTCTACTTGGGTTTATCCAGGAGGTTTTGAAGGTACTGATTTTTTAAAATTCTATTTTATTCATTATATCATATGTTTTTATGTGTTGTATTATGTTGGTGGGTTTGGGAGGGGGAAGGGTGGGTTGGAAAAGCTAATGTTGAGCTTAGGGAGCTACTATACATGTAGGCAAAAATTGTGAGTGTTGGAACGGGGAAATATGTTATGTCACCCGACGGGCTGCTTCCGATTTACATGTTACCTCTTGGGTTAGCACAGGGGTGGGGGGGGACAAGGAAAAAGAGAAAGAGTTAAAAATTTGGTACTTGTTTCACGTTTCCCCTATCCACATTTGGTTGGGGAAGTAAAAGTAGTAAGTATATACCAGTTGGGGAAGAATAGATTGGAGGGAGGGGGGAAATCATGGGGTTCACTTTTGGGTTTAATTATTCTACAATATGCCTGGGTTTTATACTGTAATATCTTACAAGTCTATAGCCCACCATTTATTTAAAAATTGTATTTTTTCCTCTCAAAAAAACCCAACAAAACTTCAAATTCTCCTGCTACATAAAATCTAATAATGAAAAATAAAATAGTGAAACTTCCACGAAAA